AGCAAGAAGGGGACCCCTTCCCTCCAAGCCTCCTCCTCTTGTCCGTGGGCAAAGGGTCTGTCTGGGCTTTGTGGTGGCGCAGCAAGTTTATTCTTGGGAGGGAGAAGATTTGAAGCTTGTCCAGGAGTTGGGTGGTCTTATTCAGAAGTGGCCGACCCCGGGCAGGGGTAGCCATTGACCCAGGGGCTCACCCCCGTGGAGTAGCCTCTCAAGCGCAGCATGAACCAGGGAACCAGCACAGGCGCCTCGGCCATCAGCGCCTGGAGCCCTTGTTCCATCTGCACCCAGGCCTGGATGGCTTTGGGGTTGGACATGGCGGCCACCATCTCCGGGCTCCGCATCTGCTGGGAGAAGTGGAGGACCTGCTGCTGCGCCTGCTCCTGTTGGGCCACCGGAGGCCCTTCTGCGGCCCGCAGGGCACTCTGCATGAGGGAGAAGATCATGCGCTTGGTGTAAGCGTTGCAGAGGTTGACAATCAGCTTCGGGATCTCGCTGGCGTCCGGTGGTGGGAGGCTGCCCAGGCCAAACGCCCCAGCCCCGGACGTGGGCGGCAGGTTGGGCATGGAGGAGCTTTGCCCTGGAGGGGGAGCCAGGCTGCTGAAGGCACTGCTCTCCTCGCTGCAGGTGCTGTGGGTGCTGTGGGAGCTGTGGCAAAGGGGCAGAGAGCCCACACGCTCCAGGCTCTCCAGCTGGGACCCCTGGCTCCTCCCCAGGGTGGAGGCGAAGAGCTCCTGGATGGCGTTCAGCCCTGGTTCTGGTAGCTCACTGTTCAGCTGCCTCAGGGGGTTGTCCCCTCCAGGGATGCTGCCGTGGAGGCTGATCAAGGCTTGGTCCGGAGCCTTCAGGTCCTGGAACATCTCTGGGTTCTTTGCCAGGTCCACAATCTCCCTCATCTTGTCCAGGATCACCCTCATGATGTCCATATTGTTGAGTAGGTGTCTGATGGCCGGGACTTGCTGAGCCAGCTGCTGGATCTCTGGATTGGCCAGGATCATTTGCCGGACCTTCTCGATGATCATCTCTGAGGTGGGCACCAGCTGCCACTCGGAGCTGGAGGGGGCTGCCTCAGGGGACCCCCAGGAGCCCTGCAGGCTGCCCCCAGATGGTGTCAGGGCAGGTGGCATAGTCCCGGGAACATAGGGAGACTGAGGAGGGTCTTCCAGGTCCCTTTTGAGAGTCCTGATCACCAGGTGTACAGTCATCCCATCCGTGATCCCGCAGTGGCGGAGCGTGTCCTTGTCCTTCAGGATCCTCCCAAAGTAGACCAGCACCAGCTGGCTGGTGTCGCAGGAGAAGTGCTTGGCAAGCTCCTCCTTGAACTGCTGGATGGTGCTGAGCTCTGGGAGCAGGAACTGGGCGCTGCTCTTGGGGGACTTTGCCGTGATGCAGATGAAGTTGGGGTTGGAGGCGAGGATGGGGCAGGCCTCTGGGGGCCCTTCCGGGTCTTTGTCCATGGTTTCCATGATGCACGGAGGAGGAAGAGGGGCTTGCATGGGAGAAGCGGGGCAGAGGCGTCTCGCTAGGCAGAGAAGGTGCCAGGGGAAGGACGGCGCTGCTTAAGTCACCTGGAGGACTGCGCTAAGACAGCCGCTGCGGTTGTGGTCCCTTAGGAGAGCAGCTGGCTGCCCCATACACTGGCGCTGGGGTATGGCAAGCCTGATGGCGCTCCCTCCCTGGACCTTCTTCTCTCCCCTCCCTCCCTCCCTCCCTCCCTCCTCCTGAGCGAAGGAGCTGCTCTCCACAGGCAGGCACATCAAGGAGTGGGGGGGTCACTGTGACATCGCCAGTGATGTCAGCAATGATGTCGCCGCCACCCGCAAAGCTCTTGGTAGCTGGCAGAAGGAGCCTCCAGGAGGAATTGCAGCCCTCAGGTCCCCTCTGGAAGGGACAGGGCTTCTGCTCTGAGGCAAGGCCACCCGAGGCCAGGTCCTAGAGTTACCACTTCATAGAATTGAAGAGTTGGAAGGGATCCCCAAAGGTCCTCTATTCTGACCCCCTGCAATGCAGGAATCACAGCTAAGGAATCTCTGACAGATGGCCATCCAACCTCTGCTTATAGACCTCTAAGGAAGGAGAGTCTGCCGCCTTCTGGATGAGTCTGTTCCATAGCTGTCAACTTTTTCCTTTTTTAAAGGGAAATTCCCTTATTCCGAATAGGATTCCTCGCAAGAAAAGGGAAAAGTTGACAGCTATGGTCTGTTCCACCGTCCAGCGGTTCAAGTAACCTGGTGGGGAGCTTTTATCCTCCTAGGCTTTTCAGAAATTCATTTTTTCCATGCATTTCAGCTTAAAAAACAGCAGCCCTCTTTTACTCTCCCCTTTGGATTTTAAAGCTTTTCATACTGATTTCTTTTTAAAAAAAAGAAGAATACTTTATTTAGAATTCAACAATAATAAAGGGAAAAACCACAGTAGCTGTTACATCAATTCATTACAATTAACCTGATTTTAACAATATACAAATAGTAATAGAAAAATTACACAACATCACCTTTAACTTACTGAAGTTTTCATATTACACTTTTTCTCTTTATCTCTTTCTTAACAAATCAAAAAGAGAAAGGCTAAAAAAGGAGGCACAAAAAAAGAAAAGAGAAAAGGAAGAAGAAAAGGGAAAGGGGGGAAGGGGAAAAAAAGAAGGAAACAAAACAAAACAAAATAAATATATTTGACTTCCGAGTAGACTCACTGTATTATTATTTCTACTATTTTTTCACACACAGTTCCAATATGATAGAATACTTTATAGTGATTTTATGCTGCTCTATGATAGCATTATATCGGTCAAGCTTGGTGTGGATTGTTTTAGGGTTAGAATTTGAATATTGCATTTCTATTGATCCCCCCCCCCCCCGACAATGGGTGGTGATAACATTCCAAAGACGGAGGGATAGTGAGCTAGATAAACAGAATACATTTCTCTCCTTTTCCAAACCGTTTCCTGTGCCTGACGAGCCGCAGAAAAGATTCCTGCATTGCAGGGGGTTGGAATAGACAACGCTTGTGGTCCCTTCCAACTCTACAATTCTATGGTTCCATGAGTTCCCTCATCCTAAACAATCCTTACCTTTCCATCCTCTGGACAAGACCTTCCTCACTGCACTGCACCAAATATATTACTGGCACAAAATAAATGTTACATCTCTCTCTCTCTCTCTCTCTCTCTCTCTCTCTCTCAAACACACACACACACACACACACACACACACTTCTTCTTCTTCATCTTCATCTTCTTCTTCCTCTTCCTCTTCTTCTTTGGCGGCCCCTCGTAGCCAAGTTAAAACATGGTTTTAACAATGAGTCTGTAAGTGTCTGTGGAGGCCAATTCTGGATCCACATGTCCTTCCACAGGGGGGACATTGGTTTCTGGGTGGGAGTTGATCCCGGTGAGGGTTTGGCAAGCGTGCCTTCCTCTTAGCCAGTGTGGTGTCGTGGTTAAGAGCGGTAGTCTCGTAATCTGGGGAACCGGGTTCGCGTCTCCGCTCCTCCACATGCAGCTGCTGGGTGACCTTGGGCCAGTCACACTTCTCTGAAGTCTCTCAGCCCCACTCACCTCACAGAGTGTTTGTTGTGGGGGAAGAAGGGAAAGGAGAATGTTAGCCGCTTTGAGACTCCCGAAGGGGAGTGAAAGGCGGGATATCAAATCCAAACTCTTCTTCTTCTTCTTAGCACATTTCTCCCTTGCGTCCTGTGTTTGAGCATCTTCAAAGTCCATGGCACCTTTGGTCAAGGCTGTTCTCCAACTGGAGCCCTCACAGGCCCATGTTTCCCAGTTGTCAGTGTTTATATTACATTTTTTTTAGATTTGCCTTGAGGCAGTCTTTAAACCTCTTTTGTTGACCACCAGCATTACGCTTTCTGCTTTTAAGTTCGGAATAGAGTAGCTGCTTTGGAAGACGATCATCAGGCATCTGCACTCGCTGGATCATCACCTTGTCGTGGTGAGTGGGCTTGCATGTTCCTATGACCCTTGTGAGCGAAGCCATCGGGAATCTCGTACTCCTAGCAGGGTCACCCAAGGTGGTAAGGTCAAAGAGAAGGAGCTAGACAAAGAATGATCCAAGAAGTCCTCAAAGGCAGAACAGGTGGATGATAACAAGTGGTATGTTACAATGGCTGTGAAGGCGGATGAAGGCTGCAGCAGATAGGAATCTACTGGTTTGTCGTGACTACTTCATACCATCGGAAAAGAGCCCTACTGTGAAGACTGTGCGTTGGTCAGCGTGCACTGATCTACACACATAAAACAAATTCACGCACAGGCATCTTCCAAAACACACACACACCTAGCAGCTCATCTGTACAATTCTTGATGCATTCTGCAGAAGGCACATGCAGAAGACGACGGTAGGGGCAATCTTTTCTGGAAGATATTTGTATTTCGAGAAGTTTAGTGATCTGACATGGTCGTCTCTTCCTGCCTCTCTTTACCTCCCCTCTCTATCTCTTGTTCTGCTCTTTGATGGCTGAGAATAGCCTTTTAATGCCCTGGTTTGTGGAAGGAAGTAATAGTGTTGGGCACCTTCCTTCTTTGAAGTGAGACATTGGAGAGGTGGCTAGTTAAGGAATCATCTGCGCTAGCTAGTCGGGCAAGGCACGTAGGCTGACAAGTTAGCTATCTGTAAATCAAATGGTTTGGGGGCATAGCTCTCAGAAGCTCATGCAACCTGAGGCCACCTGGGGTCCCTTCACCACTTCTTGAGGGCTTCCCAGTGGCAGATTGAAGTGCTTCCTTGGTAATGTATATAATGCTTATTGTTTAGAATAAAATCTTTAATCTTCTCACTTGTGCTTGTATTGCTTCTGAATCTCATCAAAAGAACCATCTGCATTTGGCAAGACAACAGCCTAGCTCAGGTGCTGAACTCAGCACTGCTATGGTTACTCTTGGTATATTAAAAAATGTAGATGAATACATCAGATGGAAACCTCTCTCCCTTCATTCTAGGGATCGCCCTCCATCCCTTCAACTTTCCTTGTCAGTGAATGGGGAGCTGCTTTTAGGTAACTGGTCTGTTGAAACATTGGTGGAACAAGCTGGTGACTCTCCGCAGGATCTCCTTGGTCTTCACCCCATAAACAATGGGGTTCAGCATGGGAGGGATGAGGACATACAAGTTGGCCAGTAGGATGTGAACATAGCCTGGGATGTGGTGGCCAAAGCGATGGGCAAAGAAGGAGAAGAATGCAGGTGTGTAGAACATGAGGATGACGCAGAGGTGGGAGCCGCAGGTGCTGAGTGCCTTCAGGCGAGCGTCTTTGGAGGAGAGCCGAAACACAGCCCTCAGGATCAGACCGTATGATGCTGCTATCAGCAAGGTGTCCACGCCGATGGCCAAGATAGCCACCATGAAGCCATACCAGATGTTGACCGTGATGTCGGAGCAAGCCAGCCGGGCGATGCCCATGTGCTCGCAGTACGTGTGGGGAAGGATGTTGCGTTGGCAGAATGTCAAGCGCTTGACGAGGAAGATGACCGGGAAAATCACGCAGAAGCTTCTGACCATGGCAGCCAGCCCAATTCTCCGGATGACTGAATTGGTCAGCAAGGTGGTGTAGCGCAGCGGGTCGCAGATGGCGATGTAGCGGTCGAAGGCCATGGCCATGAGGATGGCCGACTCGGCGATGAAGATGCTGTGGATGAAGAACATTTGGGCTAGGCAACCCTCGAAGGAGATCTCCCCGGCCTTGAACCAGAAGATGGCCAGCATTTTGGGAGCGGTGGAGGTGGACAGAAGCAAGTCAGTGACAGCCAGCATGGCGAGGAAGAAGTACATGGGCTGGTGGAGGCTGCGCTCTGTGAAGATGATGAACAACAGAGTGCTATTCCCCACCAGAGCCACAATGTACATCAGGCAGAAGGGGATGGAGATCCAGATGTGAAAGGCCTCCATCCCTGGGATGCCAGTCAAGATGTAGGTGGTGGGGGGCAAGGAGCTGTGGTTGGCTGGCAACATCTGGGGCCTTGGAAGGACTTCCTGGTAGCTGTGGTGGATGTAAGCAGGAATCCGTTCCCTCTCCAGCAGGCGCTGGATGGAAGACAGTTCACAGGGAAGAAAATCTACTGGGATCCGGAACAAATCCTGAGGAAGATGAGGCAAGCATGTCTTTTGCTGCTCCAAAGGGGAGGACCCAAACTGATGGATTCAAACCACAAGAAAGGAGATTCTGATAAGCATTAGAAATAATTTTCTGAGGCCAAGAGCTGTTCAACAGATGCCCTCGGTGGACTCTCTTTCATAGGAGATTTTTTAATCAAAGTTGGGTATTCTTTTGTATTGTGCTTCCTGCATTTACGAAGACAGCAGAGTCAACACAGAGTTAAGCCAGAATGTGGAAACCCTGCAGCCGCGTAGCGGGTCTGTCTGGGGGGTCTCCTCTCCCGCCCACCCTGAACAAGGAAGCTTTATGTGTGCTAACAAATAATAAATAAATAAATAATACACACGTGGCACTATTACTTCCCTGTATTCTGCTCTGGTCAGACCTCACCTGGAGTACTGTGTCCAGTTCTGGGCACCACAGTTCAAGAAGGACACTGACAAACTGGAACGTGTCCAGAGGAGGGCAACCAAAATGGTCAAAGGCCTGGAAACGATGCCTTATGAGGAACGGCTAAGGGAGCTGGGCATGTTTAGCCTGGAGAAGAGGAGGTTAAGGGGTGATATGATAGCCATGTTCAAATATATAAAAGGATGTCACACAGAGGAGGGAGAAAGGTTGTTTTCTGCTGCTCCAGAGAAGCGGACACGGAGCAATGGATCCAAACTACAAGAAAGAAGATTCCACCTAAACATTAGGAAGAACTTCCTGACAGTAAGAGCTGTTCGACAGTGGAATTTGCTGCCAAGGAGTGTGGTGGAGTCTCCTTCTTTGGAGGTCTTTAAGCAGAGGCTTGACAACCATATGTCAGGAGTGCTCTGATGGTGTTTCCTGCTTGGCAGGGGGTTGGACTCGATGGCCCTTGTGGTCTCTTCCAACTCTATGATTCTATGATTCTACGTCTAGAGAACTCATTCAGCTGTCAAACCTCTCCTTCCTTCCTTCCCTCCCTCTGGCATTCGTCTTCTGTTAATCTGACTTTAGCAGGAATGGCACAGCAGACACACAAAGGTGTACGAAAACACTTCTGTGTTTCTTTGAAGCAATGCCAGGTTGCAAGCAATAGGTTGCAAGTTTAATGCATATACCTCTTTAATTCCCCCATAATTTCCATCTGACATTGGACTTCCCTTCTGTGGTTCCCCGTATTTTCTAATATTGCTGCATATGATAACTTATTCTGCACCCTGTCCTCACCATACTATTCCAAAAGTCATCATTTACTGCTGCTCCTTATTCAAATCCTACTTGTGTCTTTATATGTTTACAATAGCTTTTTAAACATTCTGCAAATGGTTTCCAGTCCTCCTTAAAACCTGCCTTTTCTGGATCTCTAATTTCACTGGGCAGCAATGTCAAGGGCCCTGCCAGATAAGTCCTTCCTAGTCCAAGCTGCCCCTCCTAACCCCTTCAGCACTCCCTTCTAACAGATTTGAACCACACCTGCCCCGGATATTTTGCCCAGCTCCTCCTTGGAAGGCAGCAGCAAGAAACAGCTCTGTGCAAAGTTCTCACCTGCCTTTAGCCCCAGCAAGCAGAGAAGCTCAGAGATGGGATTTGGGTCCCCCCGGCAGCAGCAGAGACAGGCATTTGAAGGAGGCTGGGTCCAAGGAGCTGAGGGACTTGGTCTGCCTCGTGTCTGCTTGGGAGTCCTGAGGGGGATTTGGAGGCAGGTGCTGGGGCTGGTGGAGGAGAAGGGACCTCCTGGGACCCATTTTTCTCAGGGTCAGGGGGAATTTTCAAAAGGCAAGGAGAGCTTAATGCTTAGTTTGCTCTGGGAGGCTAAACGATCTTTTCTTTTGTTGCACAGTAAAGTACTTGCATTGTAGTCAGGTCCCAGTCCCACCTGCGCCTTGGGTTCAAGAGAGCCTGGGATTCCCCTAGACATCCTCAGTGGGCATGTTTCCCTACACGCAAACTCTGTGGCCCAAGAACCCCACCCCTGACTCACAGCTAGCCGTGGATTTGAACCAGGATATTTCCCCATTTGCAGAGAATCAGAGACTCAACTTGTAGAGTTGGGAGGGACCCCTAGAGTCATCAAGTCCAACCCCCTGCAATGCCGGAATCCCAATTAGAGCATCCATGACAGACAGCCACCCAACCTCTGCCTGAAGACCTCCAAGGAAGGAGAGCCCACCACCTCCCCAGGGAGACTGTCTCACTGTGGAACAGCTCTTACTGTCAGAAAGGTCTTCCTCATGTTTCTTCGGAACCTTCTTTGTTGTAATTTGAATCCATCAGTTCAAGCTTGCTCCACCTGCCATGTGGAAGCCCTTCAGCCTACAGTGGTACCTCAGGTTACAGATGCTTCAGGTTACAGACACTTCAGGTTACAGACTCTGCTAACCCAGAAATAGTACCTCAGGTTAAGTACTTTGCTTCAGGATGAGAACAGAAATCGCACGGCGGCAGCGGGAGGCCCCATTAGCTAAAGTGGTACCTCAGGCTAAGAACAGTTTCAGGTTAAGAACGGACCTCCAGAAAGAATTAAGTTCTTAACCGAAGGTACCACTGTATTTGAAGATGGCTATCATGTCAATTCGCTGTCTTTCCTTCTCCATCTCCATCCTTTGTCTCAGAGTGTCCACCTCGATCTCCAGAGCAGCCTTGAAGCCTTAGGGATTCCCAGCTCCTAGGAGCTGAAGCACTTTCATCCCCGGGGGTTTTTTGGCCGCCAAGAAAAGGCTGCTGGACTTGATGGTCCCCTCTTTGGCCTGGCCCAGCAGGTGCTTTTTAAGTTCTTATAGTTGGTTTAATGGTTTATTTCATTTCAAAAAATATATATACACTGCTTGGTTGTTGTTGTTGTTTTTAAACCCATCCTCAAAGCATTTTACAAAAAGATGAAACAAGAAAATCAAGAACAAATTGCAGCCATACCATATCCCCCAACATTCCTCGGATGAAAATAGGGACATTTCTCACACATACCCCCCAAATGACTTTCATTGATGTCCCATTTTTGTGACCCCCCCCCAAGCATTTCCTATCTGGAGGACGCTTGCAAGCATTCCCTCCCCCCACAAACAGGACACCCTCCACCGTCCTGAGAAAACCTACTGATCCCGATTTTATTCTTCAGTAGATTTACAAAAAGAAAAAGACACACAGATAAATAAATTTAGATGTGGACACACAAATCATTTCTTTAAAAAAAAAAAAGTCAAGACTCCTTGTGCTCCACTTCCCATTTCTTTACCCCCAGGGCGGCTCTGCCCTCTGCCTGTGCACCCCAGAACTGGCGCACCATGCAGGTGGGGCCTTGGCAGTGGTGGCCTCTCTTCATCCTCACCCACTCTTCAGCAGCTGCCATGAGCTGCCCAAGGGAGGAGAGGCCACGGAGAGACAACGGGATGCTCCCTCGCCACCACTCAGGGCAAACGCCAGCTCACCCCAAGCTGGGTGGTGCCAGCACTGGCAGGGGGAATAGGGACATTCTGGGATCCAGTCAGAAGCTGGGGTGACTTCTGTATACCTGAAGGAGTGTCTCCACTCCCATCGTTCAACCCAGACACTGAGATCCAGCTCTGAGGGCCTTCTGGCGGTTCCCTCACTGTGAGAAGTGAGGTTACAGGGAACCAGACAGAGGGCCTTCTCGGTGGTGGCGCCCTCCCTGTGGAACGCCCTCCCATCAGATGTGAAGGAAATAAGCAGCTATCTTATCTTTAAAAGACATCTGAAGGCAGCCCTGTTCAGGGAAGTTTTAAATATTTAATGCTGTGTTGTTTTTAACACTCGATTGGGAGCCGCCCAGAGTGGCTGGGGAAACTCAGTGGCTGGGCAGGTTATACATAAATTATTATTAGTAGTAGTAGTAGTAGTAATTCCATGACTGTCCCTGGGAAATCGGGGCGCTTAGAGGGTATGCCTACCAACAGAGGAGCCAACAGAGGAGACTTTTTGAAAGATTTAAAGCCTTTTATTCACAAACCATGTAATCCACGCCTTTGCAGAGCTCCAGCATCGGCACAGCAGCTGCAGGAGTCCAGCCTCGGCTCAGCTTCCGCCCTCTTCTGCCTCAGAGTTTGTACGTCCGCTTCTGCTTGGAAGACGGCTGCGCGGACGAGCCCCGCAGGCGGCTGGTGGTCTTCACGCCAGCTAAGAAGTCAGCGCCCACCAGAGTCTCCAAGATCTGCTGGGCAGTGACATCCTGGCGTCCCACCCTCGAGACGGGGGGCACGACGTCGCAGAGGGAAGTGATGGAGTGCGCCCTCCGCGCGGGCCGCTCGGATCTGCCTCGCCTCTCTGTTCCCGGCTCGTCTGTGGCGAGTGCCTGAAGCCTCTGCTGGATTTCTACCAGCCCCTGGATCTCCTTGGGGCTCCAGTTGGCCAACAGGATGTCTGTGTTTTGAATCTGCTGGAGGAGGTCTGGGACCTGCGGGGCCGCCTGCCCCCGGGGGCT